ATTTCTTACAAAAACAGCTGAACAATTTATATTTTTTCAATCAATTCATATATTTATACCACAAAAGCTTTATATTACTGATAAAGTATTAACTTTCATGATTTCCAAAAATTAATTTTTCATTCTTACTGCTATGAGTTAGCTGTTTATATGATAATCACTTTCATTTTTTTGCTGCACAAATTTGCATGCAAACATCAGAAAAGTTAGTTTTCTTATTTGTTATGAGTAATATAATTTGGAAAGTTAAGTTTTAGATTAGAATAGCTCAAGAAAATGCTTAAACGTACTTAAACGTATCGTATTTATTCATATTGATTGATTTTATTCATGTATTGATTTTATTTTATTTATTTATCTATTGAAGATTACGGAATAAACTTGATAAAAAAAATATTCCTTGATTTGAAAAAAAAATTTCTAAGAAGAAGTTTATCAACTTCTACCATATGATTTCAAAGAATTATATTATAGGTTTGATGTCATGAATCGGAATTTGAACATTAATTTACGCTGAATCAAACGCAAAACATGCCCCTTTTATTTTCCACTTGATTAACATTGTTATGCACGCAAGAATGAACAAATGCCCGCAAAATATTATTAAACGATGTTTTATTTTACCAAAACATCTGAACTACGTTTTTCTTTCAAGCATTTTTTTTAAGATGTGAACTTTGAACTAACCGAAATTTTAATTTTTTTTGAACTTAAAATTGAGCATTGATCTTAAGTTGTTTTCATTTTGAGTTAACGATTTGTTTGCTTAAAATTTGCATATTTCTTGCATTAATTTTTGCACTTAGAAAATAAAGATTATTAACTCTGAAGAAAACTATACAATCGTTGATATTGTCCACGAAAAATGCTTTTTCCGCCTTTTCTTGAAGTTCAATTATTAAAATATGTAGTAAAAATAATTATAAAACGTGAAACAAATTGTCATTATCCGCAAAATATGTAAATTTTTTCAGTTTAGTTAACATTTTTACACTTTTTACGCCATATGTTGCAAAATGAACTTTCGTTAATCTTTTCATTATTTTCCGCCAATGTATAAATCTTTTTTAAACTTTGGTAAAAAATTTTAAGAGATTTTTAAATTTAAAAATTTTTAATTATTGATTTATTGATTTCCAAGCTTTTATTACTTCTAAATCATAATTTACAAACGTATTATCATGATTTACAAACGTGTTATTCAAAACTAACGAAATTATAAAAAACATTTTTTTAATATAAATATTTAAGTATTTGTGCAAAGATTCGATGGTGTATAGAATAACTAAATGATTAATTAATGCGAATTCTTTTTCATCTGATTCATTGAACTTGAAGATTTTACTTTGATAACTTTCGCTTTCACTTTTACGAGTTAGATTTCCATAATGCTAATATATTATTATTATTACTAAAATATCTGCTTGTGTTCATACGAATTGAATATTTAAACTCTGTTATTTCAGCTTTATATCACACGTTAAAATATTAATATTGATCATACAGAGCTCTCAATCATTACTTTCAAGAGGATTACTTTTTAAATAGACGTTTATGGTAATTATTTCTCTATGGTACTGTTGATGATCAAATTGAGGTACGTGATGTGGATCAAGTAAGACACTTGATTTGGATCAAGTTGATTTGCGCACCAAAGTTATGGATTACTAAGGGCTTTTGAAACTTGTTTACAATGAAATATATTCACTCTTATTAGTAATATTTTATAATTTGTATTATTTTTGATTTCTTTTATGGAATGATAGCAATGAATTTGGCTCTTTTTGTTTGTACAAACATACGTAAGTCAAGTAAAATCATGCGTATACCTAGAACAAACTATCAGTACTATCAAAATACCATTCAATAATGACCTCTTAAATAATTTTAATACTTGTTACTAACTTAAACATCTATTTTTTCAATAATATTCTTAATTTTAAATAAATGAGCAATAAAAAATGTGCATATTTATTTTTATACTATTTAATAATTTAGGTTTATAACAATTAACTAATTTGGTTGTTATGTACTTTTATACCAAAAACTCATATTTCAATAGAACTATTTTTGCTATTAAAAAGTATATATTTAAAATTATTTAAATATATACTTTTTAATAGCAAAAATTTTTAATAAAAGTGATTTCATATAAATATACGTATAAATTCTACAATATCTACATAAAGTTTAGTTTATATGAAATATTTTTATATAATTTTTTATTTTTATGTAAAACATGGACTCTGAAGTTTAACTGAGATTTAATTTTTTTTTACAATTAATTCTTTTATGATATTTAAATAATTTTAAAATTTGTAACGCTAAATATGCAAATTATTTGCCTACTTAAAGCAATATTGATATTTTTCAGAAAAATTTAGCATATTTTGCTTTTTGTGAATATTATGCAAATTTTGTCATCTCTTTTTTGGCTATTTTAAAATTTGTAACGCTAAATATGCAAATTATTTGCCTACTTAAAGCAATACTGATATCTTTCAGAAAAGTTTAGCATATTTTGCTTTTTGTGAATATTATGCAAATTTTTAATTTTTGTTATCTCTTTTTTGGCTGTTTTACAAGTACTATTAAAACTTTTTTGTGAATTCAATAAGATTTGTTTGTTGGCTTTCATTCTAAAATGAATGGAAGGAATGAAATGCAAGGCGTTATTATCCTTCAAGTGTTAATACGATAAAAAAATGAATTAAATATGCAAAAAATGAAGTAATTATAAGTTTTATATTGTGTCATTTGCATGGCATAAAGAATTTTGATAGCAAATTTTTAAACAAATCTTTTATTCCATTTTCATTGCGCAAAAAATGAATTCATAACAAATAATACAAATTTTTTAAAATATACTCTATATTATTAATAAATAAAAAATATTTATCAAATTAAAAAAATAATTAATACTTTATACTTTAATAATAGTATCATTGCTAGTTGTTTTATAATTTAAAAGACTGAAATTAGATTATTTTTGTTAAAATGACTAAGAATTATTTTTATATATTTTTTATGCTAATTTTTTTTTAATCAAATTGAAAAATTTTATGAATTAATTAAGCATTGCAAACTTTTTACTTTATTGCTTTTCGATAAAAATAATTATGCAAATTTTTTCTAACGAAATAAAAATAATTAACGTTTTTTAATGGTTTTGAAATTATAAAAAATACAAATTGTAAAATAAAAAAAATAATTGTTACAATTTCATCTCATAACATTTTAACTACCAAACGATTGCAATGACCTCAAAACGTATGTCCGAATTTTTTGTTTTTGATAATTATCCATTAATATATATATTCTTGTTATATATAACTATCCTCTTGCTAGATTTTGTTTGTTTCTTACTGTACTGATTCCATCTGAAATCCAATCATCCTTCATTCTTTGATAATATTTTTGAAATTTTTTTAATTAAAAATATACCCTAAAATGACTTATTACATATTATTTCAATCTATGGTATTAT